CAACATAATTCCGAGGCGTATTGATAATTTCTTTTTCTCGAAGACCTTTTCCAATTTCTAAGGCTAGAAGAAATTTATTAGGGAGATTAGAAAATGGAGGGATTCCACTTGTGAGTTCACAAAACAGTACACCTAAACTATATATATCAGATCTTTTATCACGTTTAAACTTTGTTTGTTGAATAAAACATTGTGGTTCAATGTAAGCAAAAACGCCAACTGTTTTGGAACCACCAAAAGTGACAGTATCATTCAATTTTTGGGAATATCCAAAGTCAGAAATTAGTGCTTTACCATCATTGATCAAAATATTTTTAGAATGCTAGGATTTTATGAATAATTTGAATAATTTGAATGATTTAGTAATTTGACACCTAAAATTAAAAATCATGCACATATTTAAAGGACAACACACCAGATCCCGATGAATGATATCATTATCATGTAAATATTTTAATCCATTGGTAATGTCCGTCGCTATTTGGATTAATTCATGCCATGAAATTTTATAAAGACCTATGTGTTGTTTTTTTGATAAATGATCTTGTAAATTTCCGCCATTAGCCAATTGCAAGACGAGCATAATTTCATCAGTCTCATTAGTTTGTGAGGCTAGATTTTAAAAATAGGACATTTGACTAAGAATTAAATTTTTTAAGCTTTAAAGTAGAACTTTATTATATCATACCTCTTAAAATGCCGTAAAATTTATCACGTTTGGATGATTAACTTTGTGAAGAAGTTTAATCTATATATAAAACGATATGATTCAATTTTTTAATTTTAATAGGGATGCTTAATCCGTTTAAATTTACTATATAAAAATTGATGTTAAGAAACGCGAAAACCACATACCTCACGTTTTAATAATTTACTCGCTTCATTATCGTTTTTATTTAAACGTTTTAAAGCGTATGATTTTCCTTGGAATACGATAGAATATACATGAGAAAATCCACCATGAGCAATAATTTTACGGTTTTCACATTGTACGGAATCAAATTCTTTTATATTGAATTGTTTTAAAGTGCTTCCACTTTCTGTAAATTAATGTATTCTAACATTTTTAAATGAATTTTATTAATTACGACTATTAGAAATTTACAAAATTATTCAAATTCGAAATTAATTAAAATTTAACATACGTTCGGTCAGTTCAAATCGTAGTGTAATGAGTAGGCATTTCATAGGTTAATACTTATATACAAATAAAAGTTTTCAACTGCGTATAAACATAGTTTTACGTATTACGGTTCCAAATATGGAGTGCTTTAAAGTCAATGAGAGTCCCCTGATTTCGGATATTGTATTGTTGTTTAT